ATGCACACATTTAGCTACTTTTAGCTAATCTTTTGCTTTGGCTAGAGTTTTTGCTACTCATAGTTTTTAGATACTGTTTTACTACTATAAATATTTTGGCTAGTTTTTAGTTCCCATTCTGCTGTTTTTAGCTCCTATTTAGCTACTTTAAGCACACATTGCTACTTTTAGCTAGTATTTTGCTGTGTTTTGCTTTGGCTAGAGTTTTTGCTACTCATAGTTTCTAGCTACTGTTTTGCTATGATTAATATTTGGCTAATTTTAGCTCCTACTTTATGCACAAACTTGTAGCTAGTCTTTTGCATTGGCTAGAGGTTTTGCTACTTCTAGTTTCTAGCTACTGTTTTACTACTATTAATATTTTTGGCTAATTTTAGTTCCAATTCTGCTGTTTTTAGCTCCTATTCTGCTACTTTAGGCACACATTTTGCTACTTTTAGCTAGTCTTTTGCTGTTTTGCTTTAGCTAGAGTTATATATCAATTAAAAGTTATCTAGTAGTTTGGATGGTTTTCTGTGAATTATTATTATTATTATTATCATTAGTTGATATTTGTTCAGACTAATTCAGACTTTTCTTCTGGTAGCATGGCTGGGTTTACGAGCAGATCGAAATATTGTTACTGATTGTGCAAATCTAAAGCAGAAGCTGAATAAAATTAACTAGATCTGAAAATGGATTCATAAAATGGTGGCAGCAGCTACGTGTTACAAACTAACCTTCAAACATTTATTAAGTTTAATGTTTAACTAAAATTACCGCTGACCTTTGAAGTGATGGCACATGTCGGGTTATAATCAAGAGAATGACTTTCAAAATAAAAGTCAACCGAGTTTGATTTTATAAAACAACTTGCACAGCTGATTCATAATTGGCTCGTTTTTCTTCATTTTACATTTTCAGCTGAGCTGAATTGAAAGTTTAGCTGAAAAGACGCACTTTTCATAAACAAACCCGACCCACTACATTAACACTACATAACAGAATCTGTTTGTGTAAAATAAAAAAGTGTATTTCAACTGTCAGAACTTATATCATTAAAGGCTGTGTGGGTCTCACAGTGGAAGGCGTGGCGCTCTTCTTGCGGTCAGATGGCACCAGAGGGCTGGCCGGCACCTTGGTGGTAGAGCTGCCTGATGAACTTTTCCTCCCAGAATCCTCCACTCCAGATCGGTTGTCTGACTGACCTCCTCTCTTGGAGTAGGAGGAGCCTAAACTCCCCCAAAACAAACAAAAACAATGTAAATATGTCAGACAGAACACTACTTCAAGGATATGAACTCTGAAGCCACCTCCTTCATCTCTTTCTTTAATTTTACCTTCAATATTTCATCTTAATCCATTTTTTACTCACACACACACACACAAACTACTTTGACATCAATCTCACCTTGCTCAGTGGCTCTGCGGTTCTGAGGCTTCTGGTTGGACGACACGCTGCGCTGTACCTTGACGAGGAAAGAGCCTCAGGTCAGTCAACTGCTCTCAGTATTTATAACAAATAAATGAAATAATAAAACTAATGTTTACAGTCGTTTTATTCATAGAGCTGTTAAATGGGTGACATTGGCACTACTTTAAACGTAATGAAGAAACAAATAGGATAAAACAAGATAACAGTTGATGTGCTCGTCTTTTTCTGAATAAACAGCCAAATGCTTTTCTGCCCCCATCTTTGGATAGGAAATGTCGTCATGTGATAGCAGGAAAAAAGAAAAAAACTTTTGGGGTCTCATTATACCTTGTGAGGCGGGGAAGGGGCATTTATGTTGCTTAAATCACTTCCTGGTCGTGGCTTAAGGCAACCTTCATCCAGCTGATGGAGGGAAAAAAAGCTTTTAATATGTGTTAATGTGAAAACAAGACAAAATGAGGTGTAGATACAAACACAAGAGAATGGGGGAAAAATGATTTATTGCTGTTTCATGTAAAACTAGAGAAAATTAATGTTCTGTGAAAAAGTAGAGTTAATGCTAAGTTATGAATGACTTTGCTGAAGAAGCTAAAAGTGAGCTGAAAGCTAAAATTAGCAAAGCAGATTGCTTACTGAAAAAAGTACCAAACTGCTGACAAAATGTTGCAAACTAAAATCTAAAAAGTAGTAAAACAATTGATAAAAGTAGCAAAATTGTAACAAAACCTAATAGTATCGTGTTGTTTACTAAAACAATACGCAAAATGCTACAGAAAAGCTAAAAGTAACAAAAAAAAAAAATGCTAACTAAAAACTAAATGTAGCAAATTGTTAACTAATAAAAGAAAAACTGATAGTTTAAAGCGGTACAATTCTAGCTAAAAGCAACAAAACGTTAGCTAAAAGTAGCAAATCAGATACAATGTACAAGTAGCAAAAAGCTAGCTAAGCACTAAAAATAAAGCTCGAATGAAAGTAGCAAAAAGCTTGCTAAATTTAGCTAAATGTTCACTTTTAGCACAATTGGCATTAGTGGAAATAACATTAGCCTGAACAGTACTAGAAATAGAAGTACTAGTCTTAGCTTTAGTATAAATAGTATTAAAAGAATTAGCATTTGCAGTATTACTAGCAGGAGCTGAATCAGTTTTAGCGGTAGCAATATTAGCAGAAGTAAGTTGAAGCAGGTGTTTTTCAGAGATAAATAATTTAAAGTTTTCAATGTATTTTATTGAAAATAACGTAAATAAAGAAATATTTTGAGAAGTATAAAGTTTCAAAAACCAGGTGTCACAGCACCGATCGACTGAGCACGCTGAACATTTTGATATACGAGCGCTCTAGATAGCTCAAAGTAAAGCTTTCTTTCAGCTGCTCCTTTCTTCGGGAGTTGCCACAGCTTGCTCGCGTGAAAGAATTGGCAAACCTTTTACGCCAAATGCAACCTGGGCTCGAATCTGTAACCTCAGGCAATGACCACTGAGCTACCGCAGCCATCATAGCAGAAGTAATTCAACGACAAGAACAAAAAAAACACGTGAAAAACAAACAACAAAACGATTGCATGAATTCTGATTTAGCACTCTCACCATTATGCAGCGATGCTGATGGAGTTACTCGTGTTAAAACTTTTATAGAGTATAAAAAACCAGTAGTAAAACAAGCAGGTTTGTCCGTTAGCATTGGTAACAACGCCAGACAGCAAACTGCATGTGTGAGAGGATTTTTATACCTCAGAGTTCCTGTAGTCCAGAAGCAGGTAGGTGGCCATCACTTCATTGTACTTCTGGTTCACCAGCGAGTCCTGAATCTCTTCTTGAGAATATCCCATCCGCAGCATTTTCTCTGCACAAAAACACCAACAAAACAGATTAGCACTACATTCACACTCGTGTCTTTTAGTGATCATTAATGAACGAGAAGTAAAAAAAAAAAAGATTTTAATGTATTTCTGCAGTACCTGTTCTCCTTGGGTCCTTATAATCTGGCTGAGGTTCAATATAGGGTTTGAGTTCGTCCTCCTCGTAGCCCACATTCATCCATCGGTCCCTCATTATCTGCTGCTGGGATCAAACCAAACAATCAGAACGACAGGAGTTCAAGTTTCAAGGTTCTTTATCGTCATTCGCATCACATGTTGTACAAGAGGTGGAACAAAATTGTGTACTCGAGGTTCCATTTACACCCAAAAATATAAAGCATAAGAATAAACAGTATATAAGGACCTAAGATAAGCGCTAAATAACAATAATCTAAAATAATACGGTGTATTAAACAGCAGCCTGAACATGAGTCTGTTGTGAACAGATGGGTATGAACACAGCAGCTTATGGGTAAGAAATCAGCAGCATGGATAACTTCACATATCATCTAATTGTCAAATAAAATACAAGAACATGACTATTTATCCTATTCGTTTACGCCTAGCTAGGGATTTGTTTTGGTGGAGTGTGGTATAAATATCTTTAAAGAACAGATGAGAGTGCAAATATTCAGATATTATGACTTCAGGCTCAAAAGTCCTAACATTTACAAAAGAAGAAGAAATAAAAGAGGACTGAAGAGTCTGTACGCGAGAAATAATAATCTAAAAAAGCTAAATCTGGTCCTCTTTTTTTTTAGATTTTTCTGCCTGGATTATTGAGCATGCATCAGGAGAAATAATAATGATTTAAATAGCTTAAAGCAGCTGTATTGCTTTGGTTTGAGACAACTAAAAATTAAAAAGTTTTTCCAGCACTGCTGTAATATTTAGCGTGACAAAGCAATAAATGACAGTGCACAATAGATCGCTTTAACGCTGCACCCATTGTTTTATTATCTAAACAAAAGATGATCACGTTCCTTTAAGTCTGAGCAAGTTTTGTCTGATAAATGCCAAACTAACGTGTCCTTACTAAACCTTTAAAAAGCCTTTTACACTTCAGCAACAAAGTCACATGTGGCTGGAGAAACAATCCAAGTGCACCAACTTTGTCCCACTTATATGAGAAAACAGATTATTTGTCGAGAAACACGAAACAGTTGCTGAGTGAAGTTAAGTTTAAAGGACTGGAGAGATATTTGATAATAAAAAGGGCATAAAATGGGATTTCCTTGTCCTCCTGTGAGCTGCTGTGTGTTTTAGTGTTTCGTGTTTTGGTGCAGCATACCTCCAGGCTGCCTCTTTTGGAAGGGTTCAGGATCAGGAACTTTTTCAGCAAGTTCTCACAGTCGGTGGACATGTAGAAAGGAATCCTGTATTTACCACGCAGCACACGCTCTCGCAGTTCCTGCAGAGTAAAAATATTGGGAAATCAACAATTAAGGCTTCTTTTCAACAATATAAACCACTCAGTCAAAATGTAAACTGTGGTTACACCCTTAAAATATAGTTTTTAAAAATAGGTGCTCAATTCATTCAATTAAATGTTTGTTTTTGGTTTTTTTTTAAACCACGGCTTTAAAATATTAGTACCAGTTTAAAAAAAGCTCTAGAAAACACACTTCAACCAGTTGTTTTGATTTTGGACTAAACAGATATTCACTTTTCATGTTCATATAAACAAATAAATCTCAGAAAAACGTGTTAAAATTAATGGTTGTTGAGCAGCTTTTTGTTGTTGCATAAAAAATAAAACACGTGTACATTTAATAAATTATGACATTAAAAAAAGGCAACTTTCCTTATCGCCACAATCGGGCTGGTCTAAAACAGTGAATCCGAGATCTTTGTGTTAAATATACATCAAGCAAAGACGCACTGTTATTTTGGAAAATTTCTTATTTAATAAAGAACTGACATGCAGATTCTGATTTCTCTTTAAGAACTATAATTAAATATAACTATTATACTATATACAAACAGGCAGACAAAAATACGTTTCCCACAATTTCTGGCTGAATTTAAACTTTTTACTTTGAGCTTTTAAAAAGATTCTCGCAATAAAAACAACAAAACAGCATCAGGTTACAAAGCTTTGTCTAACACCAGAAATCTACAATATAATTTTTTCCAGGTTATTGGACAGCGGTATTTGTACTAATAGAAAATAAAACCAGACTATAGCTCCTGAACATTGTGAACCAGATGATCAGTTTAAGAGGAAGCAGAAACTAGATAAATAAAAATAAACAGTAGAGGCGAGCAGCTGATATTCCTCTGAAAAAAAAAAAAAAAATCTAGTTGTAGCTTTGAACACGTTATAGAACTCCTCGCTTAATTTTTCAACACCTTTCAAATATTATAATTTGCAAACTTTAAATCTTTGTCATCCTGTAAAAATTTCCATAAAAAAGCACCATTACTGGCTGGCTAAATCCTGCTAGGCTGGGCGATATAGACCATAATTAATATCTCGTTTTTTTGTTGTTGTTGTGATAAATCGCGATATACGATATATATATTGCAATATTTTTTTTTCCATAAAGAAATTAAAATATATTTCTGAGTCTAAGCTTTGTCCCAATTGTCACACAGCCACATTAATTAACAAACAACTTTAACTGTACAAAATAAATGTCTGAATAATAAACTATTTACATAAATTATGTATAAATTAAATAATAATCCTTTTCAGCTGAGCCGTATTCATGATGTTAGTGTGTGTGAAGCAGCACGTGAGGAGATGTTTGTATTCAGTGAGGGAGAAGGGAGGGCCGTGTGTAGTTGGCGCAGATGGAAGAAAAAGAACTACACGGGTTTTCAAGGCTAATAATATTCGATGATTGCGATAGAGCCGTTTTAACCATCGTAAATTGAAAAACTCGCGATACATCGAGTATATTTGATACATCGCCCAGATTTAAATCATGCTAGCTAAAAATGAGGGTGGATAGATTGTCTCTTATTTATGGTGCGTTTGATGACCAGGAGAGATAAAAAAAAAAAAAAAAGTCATCTCATTAAGTGGGATCAGCCGGCCAGTCACCAGTTGAGCTTAAAAATCAGCCGATTCCAGTCACTAGTCGATTTATTGGTGCATCCCTAATAGCAAAACTAAATGTAGATCCATGACAAAACTAAACAAGCCTGGATTGTATTTAAAAGCCCTTCTCACATTACATCAACGTTAATGTCATAATGCACATTAAAATGAGTCAGCACTTCCAAAACGAGTCATAAGTTTAGTTTTTAATTTCAGTCGGCCAAAAGGAACAGAAAGTAGCATGATGAAAACTACAACCGCCCACAGAACGCAGACAACAGATTATGTAACGCACAAGAACAGACACAAAAACAAACACTCCTCTTCCCAACCTTGAGGTTCTGTCCATCAAACGGCAGCGAGCCGCTGACCAGCGTGTAGAGGATCACCCCCAGGCTCCAGACGTCCACTTCGGGTCCGTCGTACTTCTTGCCCTGAAAAAGCTCAGGGGCCGCGTAGGGCGGGGAGCCGCAGAAAGTGTCCAGCTTGTTCCCCAGAGTAAACTCGTTACTGAAGCCAAAATCAGCTATCTTGATGTTCATGTCTGCGTCTAGCAGCAGGTTTTCAGCCTGTCGTGAAACAGAGGAAGTAATCAGAAAGTTTGAGTTAAAGGCGCTCAATGCAAATTGTGAAATCAAAACATACACAGGATTACCCTGAAGTACATCAAATAGTGACGTTTGGAAGCATTTACTCCAGTAACTGTCCAGATGTTTTGATAAGTGATTCTGAAACGTGGGTACGCACTCGATGCAAACAAAGAACTCAGCTGAATCCGTAGAAAACAAAGTAAAAGAGAGCCGAGAATACATTTAGGTGGAAATACAGAAGTGAACCTGCTGCTAAACGTGAGCTAAAAAAAGAAAGGATGAGTAAGAAAACTGTCAAGATGGAGATCTAGCAGGACGGTGGAGCGCCGTAAGGACAGCTCGGCTTTCAAACGTGTGGTTTTTGGGAAACTTCTGCCAGAATGGCAAGTCTTTTCAGCTTAAGTAGCTTTTCCACCGTTTTTTAGTCACTTTCGCCATTTTTGCAGATAAACAAGCGCAGAAGGTAGTTGGCAGCCATTCAGAAATTTCAGTTGCAAGTTTATAATTTTAGGACACATCAATGATCAATATGAGGAAAAAATGTGCAGATTTAGTTTCTTACTCGTTTTATTTTTTTAGACCAGTCTTCATGACATTGAAAAATGACTACCTTTAAAATGAACAAACTAATCTGGGAGATGTAGGAACAAAAGAAAATCACCTAGCTCGCCTTACTCGTCATTTGGGCGGTTCAACTTCACTTCAAACTCAGATCCTCTACCAGAGGCCTGGGGGTCTGTTCATTATCTCAGCTGTTCCTAGGACTGAACTCTTCTAGACAGAGATCTCTGAGGTAGTTCCTGGGATCTGTTGGAGCCACTCTTCCTGTTTGGGAGTCACAGCTCCAAGTGCTCCAATGACTCTCGGGGACTGTCAGGATGTGCAGCAAAACTGTTGGCATAGATCTACAGAACCTCACTGACCTACACAAGGTGAGGTCAGTGGACAAGGCCAGGCTGATTCTGGCAGATCCTGACCACCCGCTCCATGGTGAGTTCAGGTTGCTTCCATCTGGACGCAGGCATCTGCTACACAGATGTAGGACCAACAGACTGAAAAACTCATTCATCCCTGTAGCGATCAGGCTTCTCAACAAACAACGATTTCATGTATTATTTTAATGTCTCAATGTCTTGTGTCTATGGATGTTTTGTGTGCCTACTGACTGTGAAACAAATTGCCCCTTGGGAATAATAAAGATTATTGAACTTGACCACTGAGACTAATGATGCTTTGACTTTCCACTACTTCTGTATTTCCTCTTTCAGCCTTTTGTAATACCAGAAAGAAACAGCGCAAGAAGCCTGAGAAATACCACCACATGGGATTGCTACATCTATCACTACTGCCTTCTTCTCATGCTCGTCAACCAGCACAATGTCTGGTTGGTTAGCCGTCACCTGTTTGGATCTGGAAGTCCCACAGCATCTTAGCCCTTTGATTCTCCACCACATTTGGTGGAGTGTCCCACGTTGACTGTGGGACCTCCAGTCCATATTCAGCACAGATGCTCCTGTATATTATTCTCGCCACTTGGTTATGGTGTTCCATGTATGCTTTGCCTGCCTGGATCTTACATCCTGCTATTATGAGTTGGACTGTCTCAGGCAGGGCTTACCAGTAATTTGAGCTGGACCCTGAAGGAACAGGATCCAGGAACTCTCTTATTTTGACAGGGTGCATTCCGGTAACTCTCAGACTTACTAAAAATAAAGTTATGAACAAATATGACTGCCTTGAATGAATAAAACGTATTAGATATGTAAACTGAAAATGAATACATAAACACTAATTTTAAACACAACTGCCATTTACGACTTCTTACTATCACATACGAGCTGCCCCTTCAATTACAATAAGCATTTCCGCCTCTACCCTTAAAAAATTTCCACTCCTATAAGAGTGGTGGGTGTGAGCGTCGACCGAGTTAACCAGGCAGTCGTACACGGACAGGAGCCCACATGCAGCTGCCATGAAAAGACGAAGGCGGCGCCTGGAGGTTTCACATGTGGAGTCGAACAGTGAATTCAGCGAAGAGTCGGGCTCGGAACCGTCAAGTAAGGGCGAGTGGAGTAAGATGCTTGACAGAAGCAGAGTGTTTACAAATGTAGGTAAACGCAGATGTTTAACAACCCATTAAAATACAGAAAAATGCAGGAAATCACATCTACTTTATTCAAAATTTTCTGGGGAGGACCCCAGACACCCCCCTGCTATTTGCGTTCCAGCGTTGATTCATATTATACAGTATATATAGTAGTACTGCTACGAGTACTCAAAATCAGCCGATTTACGAGCTAAACCGTAAGATGGAAGTGATTTGCGAGAATCACAGGCCACCTGCGGCTTCTAGGACTCGCCAGCATGTTGGCGTCGACCTTGAACAAGGCTCATAGCACGCATCAGTGGAATGCCCATAAATCTGGTCATTTTGGATCTTGAAAGTTCCAGCAGGACTCAAAGCTGACAAGAAAAAAAAAACAAAAAAACAGTCTGCCTGAAGAAAATCAACAATTGTGGCTTATCTGAATCCGACTCCCCCGTTTGGCCTCGGATGCGGGCCGACTATCAAATTTCTCCTGGGACATGGGTAAACTAAGGAAAATCTTTGTCTATTACAACCCCCCGCAAACTTCTGTGCAGGCTGACCAACATCTTTTCAGGACCATGGCCTATCTGAAAGTGCTCATGGACCAATCTCAACATCATGACGTCAAATGTATATGTAATGTGTTTATAAATGTGCTTGCTGGTAGATTTTTGATGTCTTAAATAGTGTCCCGAAAGGGCAAGATGTGAAGAGATCTTTTTTGTAATACCACTATCCACCCTCATGGCTTTTTCCTCTTTTCTATCAAAGTATTCTGATAAAGAATAATGGGCCGCGCTATGCTAGCAGCTGCAACGTGCACTCCGCCCATCTTTCGGACGACTGTACAAACATAATCTCACCGTATCCCGGTACAATGATAATAAAGCTTATGCTGATTCTGATACAGGACACTGCTTTGTCCAAAACGGTTCATCTTTACGTGTATGAACCCATATAAAAGATCGTATCAACAAAGTTTAAATCTACGTTGAGAAACGGTAACATATTCAGTGAGTTGCTAGAGTTTGAAATATAAAAGTACTCCAGTTAGTTAAAGACTGTTGCCCGACGCTCTTTAGGGAAAAAACAACAACCTGTTGGACGTAAAGAGCTCTTTCAGAGTAATGGCGTGGGGCTGGCAGGCAGCACACAATGGGCAAGGCGAGCTGCCGAGGCTTGTACTTTTGTGTGCGATTGTGCGTGTTTCTTTAAGCATAAAGTGAGCCACCAAGTGGGGAGGCTGGGGTTGCCTAGCAACACGAGCGCTCTCCTTTCAACTTGCTCTGAAAACTCTGCAGCTTCTGCGAGTTTCTGGGTGAATGAGCACATTAAACACAAAACGGACATCTAACTCTAACCCCTGAGCTGACGCGAACACATGAACAAATGAATGTTTCATCCAGAATCTTTTTATTGACAATTTTTTAAAAGAGTTTGATGGTGCATTTTAGAGCTGATGTGGTGCTACAACCTGAAGGTTTTTAATAAATAATCATTTCACCCCCACCCGCCCCACACACTTTAATAAAGTCAGCACAGATTATTCTCAACCCTAAATCCATGCTGATTAAAACTTACTCCTGCTGAATAGGATCAACCAGGGTCACACATTTCATACTTTGAGACTCAATTGTTCAGAGTTTGAGTCTTTTTTTTTTATATCAAAACATCCATAAATGTTCTTTAATGTTTCAAGTTTGTACTTTAGTGCAGTTTTTTAAAATGTGTATGCTTTTGTAAAATATTTGGATGTGTGTTTCAAAAGTTATTTTTTATTACGGATACAAGCCATCTTGTAAGGATAAACAACTACCTACTAAAGATAGGGGAGTATGTTTTCCTTAAACACACAAAAGAACATGAGCTCTTTTTGACCTAGACAAAACATTTTTAATCAGAATTTACAAATTCCCATCACCCCAAGTTGAAAAACTGAATAAATTCCTAAATAATAGTCTTCATGCATTGCCATGTGTGCTGGTCAGCTAAATACATATCCAGAGGCATCTTTAGGAAGTTTTCAAAGGGGGGCCAGATGACGATTTTTGGGGTGAAACACCAAAATCAAAAGCTTGATCAGAATTATAATTTTTTTCAACTACAGTACTTGATTTTCTGAGAACTTATACAGACCTGAAAACTACTAAAATGAATTTTGGCATTTTTTTTAAGACTGTTTATGAACTCGGATCAACGCAACTTGCTGGATTTCACATTTGTCCTTTAAATTGGGAACGATTCAATGTGCAGAATTACAATACTGACAAGTATACATCTAGCAGAATTCTAAAAAGGTTGAGTTTGGATTATTGAGGACATCTAGCAGAATTCTAAAAAGGTTGAGTTTGGATTATTGAGGACATCTAGCAGAAACCTTCGATGCCAATGTTGCCTTTTTTTTAATCCCAAACTATTTTTTATTAAAAACGTCACTTATCCACTTGTGTTTTAGTGGGTTCCACTGAGGTGACTGCGACAGTAATCATGATAATGTCTACACGTCTGCCTTCTGGTCCAGTAAGAGGATTTAAAACCCTGAATAATACAATGGACCACAATGACCTGGATCAGAGCAGAAGCTGTGACTGAGCTTTGGAGCAAAATGCTGTGAAATAAAAAGAGAAATAACACAAAGGGCCCTAAAAGAGGAAAATCAGAGAGGAGTTTTTATACAAACGTTCTTGGCTGTGTGTTTTAGTTGAAACTCAAAACACCGTAACGAGCCCATTACCTCACCTCTGTGATTAACCTTTGGGTCGTTTGTTTGTGGGGGCAGCATTTAATCTCAAAATGAAATCATATTAAGATTAATAGGCTGAGATAGAGAGCGGGAGCTTCCTCTCTGACAGAACAGACTGTAATTCCCATAAACATGCATGTTGGGCTGCCTTGCAAGAGTTCAGTGATCTCCGTTAGGGATGCACAATATTATCGGCATGGTATCGGCAGATATAAGCGATAAAGTTAAATATCGGACATTCCATCAAAACTCACGATACTCAGTAAAAGGCTTCTGTTTTTAAGTTCATTTTTTAATTTAAGAAACTATGTGTATCTATTAATGCACCGCTACTTATGTGCTTTTCACCCGTCGCTGGTGAACAGGTTGAGCTTAGAATTGTGAAAATTTACACTGTTCGAGTAAATGTCATGAATAAATTTGACATTAAACGTAATCCACAGAGTGTTGCATCATCCAGCCCCCTTTTTGGCATCTGCATTTAGTAGCAGGCCAAACTGACAAAGACCATGCAGAATAATGTAGTATTTTAACTCCACAGCAGAGAAAGCTTTGTAGTCTCTGTAAGTAGGTCTAGGGGGGAAAATATCGGTATTGGTATCGGCCAAATAAGTTTTAACATATCGGCCAAAAAATCCAATATCATGCATCTCTAATCTCAGTCTGGTGAAATGAAGGTAAATAAATAATAAAATTCAACGACACGTTTGTTTAATGCGTGTGCTCTCACCTTGAGGTCTCTGTGTACTATACATTTCTGATGGCAATACTGCACCGCTGACACAATCTGGAGAGAAAAGACAAGATGATTAGACGGCTCATTAGACAAATAAGCAAAGATGCTTTATTAGGATTTAATTAGGAGACAATTAGGAGAAACAAGCGAGGGCACAAGATCTAAACTGTGCCCCTGCCCGTTTTATATTTTATTGCTCAACCATTAATTACTTAAAAAAGGAGTTTAAGCAAAGTTGTTCTTTAAAATTCTCTTCAGGTTGGTCCTTAATTAACTGCAGTTCAATCTGCATCGAACGTTTCAAGGTTATCAAAGCACCTAGCCAGAATACGAACACATTACACTTTGACGGTCTTTGTTCTGAATCTCGTTGCACTTCACAGATAACCAGTTTACTTCCTAATGTTCATTTTTATTTCAGTTTTCAAAACGAGTGTGTTTTACCGTAGGAGATAAACAATCCAGTAACACATCGTACAATCACATTAGTTGGGTGAATGCTGATGTAGCATTCACAGTTTGGTTTTCCTGTTATTTCTCCCCCTCTTTTTGGGGCATCTGACTACTTCTGTACCCACTGAGCCATTTTTACAAATTTTCATGTTTAGCATGTTGCGCGCCACGACTTTTAAATCTTGCAACTTTTAAAATTTTACCAATACTGTTACTGCTAATACTAATGTTACCAATGCTAATCCTCTTAAAGCTAATTCTACTACTGAATTCCACTTTAGCGTTTAGCTAGCCTGTTAGCTAATTTACTTTCTAGCTAGCTCTTTGCTGCTTTTAACTTGCATCGAGCTCATTGCTGCTTTACGCAACATTTGACTACTTTTAGCTTCTTATTTAGCATTTTGTTTGGTTTATCTAGACGTGGACTATTCAAATGGTGGTCCGGGGGCCAAATCAGGCCCACCAATGGGTTCATTTAAAATAAAACAAGATTTTAAAATGTCAAACAAGCTTAATTAATGACAATAACTGCTGGATTTCCAGCCCCTGAGCTGTTGGCTTTTAGTAACTGTGGCCCTCTGAGCAATTTAGTTGTTTTTCCACTACATTGAGTTTTATTGTTGGTATTTTGCTATATATTTTGTTAGTATTAGCCAACATACTTTTAGCTAAGTAGTGTTTTACTACTTTGACAGCATTTTGACACTTTTATTATATGAATTATTAGTGTTTGAATGTGATCGGTTGTTTTTTGATTATTAAATTTTGTAAATGGGAACTGGTTCTCAAACATTTCACCCGGTAAAATAAAGATAAAATAAAATAAATAATTTGTTAAAGTTGACAAACTGCACAAACCCATTAAAATCTGTTAGTATTTATTTCCTTATAAGGCTACGAGTTCACATGGGGAAAATAGTTCGATTGCACTGTTTTGTAATTTGCGCTATAATCAAGAATCAACAGTAAAACTGTGAGATGATATTTTTAACATACTGCCCTCCCCTAAAGGACTTTTCCTCGTACACACCTGTCTGAATTTGGCACGTGCTTCTTTTTCCTTCATCCTGCCATGGGCCACCAAGTAATCAAACACTTCTCCTGAAATAAAAGAAAAGAAGAAAAAACAAGATTTAGTGTTGGAACTTGACGCTCGTTTCCTTCAAACTGGAAAAACACGAGACACCGATGAACCGAGCTCTTTGCTTTAGGGATTCGTAGAAGTGCTGCAAGTCTGAGTTCATATCTTAACATTTTATTTACATAGAATAACATAATAAAACTAATCAACAATAAGTCGTGTTTTTCCTAAAGATTACATTTTAGCCCATACATTATTAGCTTTATGTTAGCCGAGACCTTTAGCTTATTACGTAACACAGCAGCTGTAGGGTCAATGATTTCACAGGAACATGTGCTTACCTCCACTAGCGTACTCCATTACCAGGTACAAAGTCTTCTCTGTCTCTATCACCTCAAAGAGCTTGACTGCAGGCAGAGAGGAAGAAAGAGGAAGAATGGGGGAGGTGGAAAAGGAGTATTTGGATAGAAGTTGAGAGCCATCGGGCAAAAAAAGGAAAAGCAAAAGCAAGAAAATAATGAGCACGTGAACATGTGCCCTTGAAATGTCTAACAGTGATGACACAGTGGACAATCGGGTTTCGTTTGGACTCACCTATGTTGGGATGATTCAACAACTTCATGATTCTCACCTCCCGGAAGAGCTGCGAGAAAATGAGGCAGAAACGTTGCATGAGTATAAAACCAGCAGGCCGCAGACTGACGTGGTGTTTCTTTGTATTCTGTCCTTTTTTCTTTCGGCTGCTCCTTCTTCAGGGGTGGCCACGGCCAACTAACTTGACTTAAAGACTTACCGATTGTTTTTACGCCGGATGCCCTTCCTGATCAACCACAGACCACGAGCTACCACAGCCCTCTGTGTGGAGCAGAGAGTTGCCATGTAGGACACCCGGGGGAGCAGATGGTGGGGGTTAAGAGCCTTGCTCAAGGGCCCAGAGTGGGGCCAAAGAGGGTGGGGGCAGGTGTAGGCGTTTCACCTTTTCCACCCAGATTTTGATGTCAGTCCGGGGAGTTGAACCAGCGACCTTCTGATCACAGGCCCACCTCTGCACCACCACCACTCTCCCATTTCTTTGAATTTCAAATGTTACTGCCTATATGCGACAATTTCACATCATGTTCTTCAGGAGTAACGTTTGTGCTTTTATACTTTTTGAAAACACAATTTTATTAACATGCTGACAACAGTGTGAAGGTTTATAAAATAAGGGTTCCTGTGAACTAATATGAAAAACTGGAACTGGGGTAGTTTTGGCCCCGCTCAGACTAGTTGTAAGCTTCTTGATCCGGAAAGAATAAACTGAATTTATTCAAAGTGGTTCAGAGCCCTAACCCATATACAACAAATACAATAACTAGAGACATTGTACGTCCTGAGAAAATGTGGTGTGAATGCTTATAGCAGAAGAACTTGCAGAAAAACAGCTGAACCTTGCTTAAAAAACATGCTGAAATTTAACTGAAATGGAAGAGCAAGCCTAAATTAGCAGAAGAAAGCAGAAAGAACAAATACGTGTTTAAAAAGGTTTAAATAAGCAGAAATGAGCACAAAAAGGAAATCAGCTACAAAAAAAATGCTGAAATTAGCAACAACAATAAAAAAAAAGACAGCTGGAAAGTAGCTGAAAAGGCAGAAAGAAGCTTAACCTACCAGAAGAACCTACCTACTTTATAAATAAAATTGATTGATTGATTGATTGATTGATTGATTGATTGATTGAGAAGGAAGTGGAAAAACAGCTAAATAGGAGCTGAAATAGCAGAAAAACTGAAACTAGCAGAAAAATGCTGAAAGGATCACACCAAGCTGAAATTGGCAGAAATAAATCAATTCGGCTCAAAGTAGCAGAAATTACCACAAAAACCTTGAATTTATCTGAAAACAGCAGAAATTAGCTAAAAATGTTAAAAGGATAGCTGGAAAAGTAGAAAAAGCTTAAACTAGCAGAAGAAAGCAGAAAGAACATGTTTGCTGAAAGAACTAGAAATGAAAAAAAGTGGAAATTATCTGAAAAAGCTGAAATGACCAAAAACCAGCTAAAAAGTAGCTAAAAAAGCTTAAATTACCAGAAGGAAATGGAGAGAGCACATTTTTGCTGAACTAGGCTGAAATAGGTGGAAAGGAATGCAAAAAAATTGGAATTAGCTAACAAAAAAAGAGCTAAAAATAGCATGAACAGCTAAATAGTAGCTGAAATGGCAGAAAACGCTAAAACTTGCAGAAATAAACTGAAATAAGCGCAACAAACAAGCTGAAATTATCAGAAAGAAGTTAGAAGCACAAAATGTAGTTAGCAGAAAGATCCTGAAAGGAGCACAAAACAGCTGAAAGTAGCTGAAAAACGTTTAAATTTGCACAAAGAAGCTGAAAGAAGCTGAGCTGGAACCAAATGTGAAAGGAGCATTAAAGGTTGTAAACAGATGTAAAGATTTGAAGGATGGAAAATGAGCTAAATTCATTTTCTATGAGAAAAAAAATGGCAGAAAAGACTAAATATTTCAAAAAGCTAAAGCTGCACCAATATCAAAAGTCATAGCAGGATTGCCTTGAAAGAGCCGAACGTTTTGATGTACATTTGTTGAAATAGCACAAAACCTGCAGGATGTGAATCACACCGAAACACACCTGGAAGAAAAATGGATCACAATAGAGTGAATGCTTCATAAACATTCACTCTGTGATTATTTAGAACACATGAACTGATTTTTTATTTATTTTTTTTTACCTGAACTGATCGTTTTCAGTTCCTCTTCTTCCTCACGACTGAACTGGTGAGACCAAATCTCTTCATCATGATTATCATCATCATCTAGCTAAAGGCTTGAAGGTCCACTGAGGGTTCCAAAACTTTTGCATTTGATAGAGATCGGGTCTTCCATTCTTTTGAGAACATTACGTGCCGCAGTAGAGTTCTACCGCATGTCTTTCTTCAAGCCATGAAAGAGTTTCTACTTTTAGGATAAAACTCATTCTCGTTCTCTTAACTAACTTGTTTTTACTCACAAAATCATCAGTTTTGAGCCCTATACATAATAAATCACGTCAAACTTATGAAATAACATTAAAATCAAGCTGCAATATATGTTAAGTTGGTTTAATAAAACGAAAATATTCGAAGAAAGTAAATACTTCAAGTTTTTACCTCATTGTTAAGAAATGTGTATGGATTAAAAGAAAACAGGAAACGGAATCTGTTGTAGCCAAAATGTTGAGTTGTTCAGGATTTGTTATAAACGCTTTGGATACAACAATTTTCAGTCTGGTCAACTGGACATTTTCTTTTTTTTTTTTTTTTTGTGCTGAAACGTTTCACCTTCCATCCAGAAGGCTTCATCAGTCAAGGAAACACACAACACAAAACTGATTCTTCCCCCAAACAGCTTACTCCAAAGTGGAACAAACCAGTTTTGTTGGTGCTAAGATGGTGAAGCGTTTCAGCACAAAAAAAAAAAGAAAATTTCCAGATGACCTGACTGAAAATTGTTGGATTGTATACCTGGATTACTGAGCACAGACGCTTTGGATAGTTTTGAAAGTTAAAACTGTGACTTTAACGTTGATTTTCAGATGAGCATGTTTATATATATTTTAAGGACATGCGACTATAAATTAAATTACTTCTGCTCTTTCGGTGTCGTCTTTGCATTTTGCCACACGAGTCTGGATTTAGATGCGAGTGCTCCGACTAGATGAGTGTCTTGTATGTGCTTTCAGTGTGCGCGTACACATGGTTGGGCCGTGTGCGTGTAAGTGGACAGACCCCACCCTGCCACGATCAAAGTCAGTAATTGCAGCTTGTTTCCTGTAATTAAAACTCTCTCTGAAAACCGGACCACTTCAGACGGATACAGAGGCGCAGGGAGAAGGGAGAACGTGTGGGGCGGGAAAAACGACTTCGAAGAAAAGGGATGGGAAGGAGTGAGATTTTACATTTGTGCCCGTTTGTGTGAGGAAGAGATCGAGTTAAAGAAACCCACCTTTTGCAAACTGGAAGAGTTGAGCTGAGTCTTATCTATGATCTTGACAGCCACCTGGAAGCAAAACAGAAATTGATTATTACTAGGGATGCATGGATCCACTTTTTTCACTTCAGATACCGATAAGACTCGGGGAAACCCAGTGCTGAATTAACTTAAGAGCGTCTCCACCGATACCCGATAAAGAATTTTCGATATCAGTGCGATACCGGTGTTAATATCGGCTCGGTGCATCTCTAATTTATTACAGAATCTTATGTTGCTTACGAAAAGCCAATGATACGAGCAGACCCCCAGTGTTATCTCAGCTGCTACCACAACCAAACTGAAGCAAAACATCTACCATTGACTGACTTAGAACGGTTTAATGTTTATTAAGGTGAGCTGGCAGTGACGAGGTGTCTCTAATCAGGTTGGCTCCAAAGGTAAATCTGTGGTAGAGATACATCCAATGAGTGTTTCCTGAAAGAGTCAGCAGAATCTGTTCCAACAGTTGATGAGATATTTTGCTAACGTATACAGCTGACTCAAAAAGCCAATAATTAAAAGTAGTCAATGACAAATATGAAAAAAAAAAAAAATCTGTTTAAGTTCAGGATCAGTCTGAACAGGTATCACACCAAATTGTAGGTCTACATTTGTATCGTTGACTGACTTGTAGTCATTTTTGTGTTTTTAAGGTTGGATAGTTGTGGCAGACATCTTGATTAGGGTCGAGTCTAAATGCTAATCAACTGTAGATGTGCATTAAATTATTACTAAACGAGAGGTCCATGAAAAAAGTTCAAAATCTTACGTCTAACCTACAAATCCCTCAACAGCCTAGCTCTTACATTACAGATCTTATTGTTCCATATTTTCCTAACAGAGCACTTCGCTCTCAGACTGCAGGCTTACTTGGGGTTCCTAGAGTTTCCAAAAACAGAATGGGAGGAAGATCTTTCAGTTGTCAGGCTCCTCTCTTGTGGAACCAACTTCCAGTTTCTGTCCGTGAGGCTGACACATTGTCCAGTTTTAAGACTTTCCTTTTTGATAAATCCTATAGTTAGGGTCGGCTTAATGCTGCTATAGGCTTAAGACTACTGGAGGACAAATTGACCTAATTTCCTTAAATGAATTGTTAAAATTGAATAGTTTTCATTTGACACTATTTCTATCTTAACGTGATTCTTGACCTGCCATTGTGTATCCGTTCCTTCCAAACCCAGCTGGTTGAAGCAGATGGACGCTTGTCCTGAGCCTGGTTCTGCTAAAGGTTTCTTCCTCATGAGGGAGTTTTTCCTTTCCACTGTCGCCTTCGTGCTCGCTCAAGATGAGAGTTCTGCGATGGAGTTAAATTCAAAGCGGCCTGCTCCTCAGATAAATAATGCTAAATTATTATTTTTTATATATGAATGTTTCTGTTCAGTGTCCTGAGACGGCTTCTGTTGTGATTTGGTGTGATATAAATAAACTGAATTGAGAGCTTCATAAAACATCATCCAGTGGGTCAAGAGATATTGTGGTAACAGACAAAGAAACAAACGCGCACATCAGACAGGAAGAAAAATATTATCATCTTTCCTTATTTTTCGGACGTGGGCGGCAATAAAGGAAACATAACAAAAGAAGACAATGACATAAAGGCAGGGAAACAAATAGCTCTTTACAGAACAGAGATCTGCTTTATTTGGATTTTTTTTGTCGTCTGCTAACTTCTTCCTTTCACTGCTCTTTCTGGTTGTGCCTGTCTGACTCTCCCTTGTTTTTCTTTGCGTGAGCAGCGAGTCACGTGGAGTGTTATCAGGGTGTCAGGCACAGGGCTGTCACGTATCAGAGCACGCCCACTGTGCTCTTCTCCTCGCATAATAAAAGCTACTCGACTGGGAGGCAGGCAGAACGAGGCCTGAGCTCAACGAAGACACGGCTCCTCCATGAAACTGACAGATCGCAGAGTTACAGTACACAGGAAACATTTAAGCTTTTTTTTTTTTTTCAGGCTGGCAGTGCTGATCTAATCTCCTGCAGTAGCTGTAGAATAAAGCTGTGCAAGCCTTAGATCAGATCCGGAGCCTTTCTGTAGCCGTAGCTACCGGGAAACCAGATCATCATTTAGAAATCAGTCAAACAACAAGCATGATTATCTAAATCTTGACAAATAACACACATCTAAGCCTTTTTTTTTTTAATTAACTCTAAAAAGGCTTGGCTGATCTATTTCTCATGTCTCATCAATTTAGTTTGGTGCCATTTATACTACTGGTGAGTATAACTGGACAATTTTTAGCTTGATGCGTCAAATCGACATTAAATTTATTTTTTTTGCAGGTCAGTGAATGCACCATAGACGAGCAACATTCAGTAGTTTGTAAAAAAACGACTGCCAGGAGGCTAATCTGTGCTAGCCTAGCATGTCTTTGATGTTGGAAGATTTTAACATGACTTAAAGTAAAATTAGTAAAATCTGTAGAATGTTTAAAAAGTACAAGTAGAAGAAGAGGCTACACAATGAAAACTGGATTTTATTTTAAGGAGTTGAATTTTCTGCTCATTTTAAAGCCCAGAAATGTGTTTTCCCTTTAGCTGCCATTTAAACTGACATATTCTTAAATATTAAGAGTAATTTTAGGATTTGAGATAAACATAAAAATAGGGATGGTGAATTTAATTTTAGGTTGGGTTTTATTATTATTATTATTTAGCATATGTATTAGTTTATATCTTAGATCCTTATTTATGGTTTCTTTTGACACTTTATATTTTTGCTATCGTTGGATGTAACCCTGTGAACACAATTTCGTTCCACCTCATGTACCACATGCGATGTGAATGCCAATAAAGAACCTTGAATCTCATCTGTACGAATATTCTCTGTGCAATAATTTGGGGGATTAGATTTCTGGAGAGGAAAGACAAATTGATAATCTGGTTCTGCTTTGAAGAAAAAAAAAAAAGAATGGTATTTAAGTGTAAACATTTTATTAGTAGATTAGATTTTCAATTCAACCAGTAATTTTTAGTGCATGTTGTTAATTATAGTTCTTTGAGAAGAATCCAAGTTGTATAAAATGTTCAGCAGGTCAGAGGACTACAAAATTGGAACCGGCCTAGGGAACTGCAATCGGTCCGTCTATAGAGTTAACTGCAACTTTCTAAAACCTTGTTTGATAAAAGTCTTCTAAAATATAATCTACACAGCAGTGTTCACAAGAACATTCTTCAGTCATATGGAAATAATAAAAAAACGTTTTACAGTAACCGCGAACCTGAACGTGCATGGTAAACAAAATATACATTTAAACTTCAGCGATCTGAAGGCGTTTGCTGTCGTAAATAATCTCACTGCCTGCTAAAGTCAACTAATTCAATCCAATTCAGTTTATTTATAAAGCACCAAGTTACAAGAGGAGTCGTCTCAGGGCACTGAACAGAAACATTCACGTATAAAAATAATAATTTAACATTATTTATCTGAGGAGCAGCTTTGAGTTTAACTCCATCGCAGAACTCTCATCTTGAGCGAGCACGAAGGCGACAGTGGGAAGGAAAAACTCCCACATGAGGAAAAGACCTTTAGCAGAACCAGACCCATCTGCTTCGACCAGCTCGGTTTGAGAGGAACAGGAAGGAGGAACAGATACACAATGGCAGGTCAAGAATCACGTGTTAAGATAGAAATAGTATCAAATAAAAACTATTATTTTAACAATTAATTTAAGGAAATGAGGTCAATTTGTCCTCAGCAGTCTAAGCCTATAGCAGCATAACAAACCAATCCTAACTACAGGATTTACCAGTAAGGAAAGCCTTAAGCCCAGTCTTAAAACTGGACAATGTGTCAGCCTCACGGACAGAAACTGGAAGTTGGTTCCACAAGAGAGGAGCCTGATAACTGGAAGATCTTCCTCCCATTCTGCTTGTGGAAACTCTAGGAACCACAAGTAAACCTGCAGTCTGGGGGTGAAGTGCTCTGTTAGAAAAATATGGAACAATAAGATCTGTAATACAAGATGGAGCTAGGTTGTTGAGGTCTTTGTAGGTTAGAAGTACGATTTTGAATTCTATTCTGGATTCGACAGAGAGCCAATGGAGAGAAGCTAAAACTGGAGAGATATGATCTCTCCTACTAACTCCGGTTAAGACTCTAGCAGCAGCATTTTGGATCAACTGAAGACGTTTTAAATAAGTTTTTGGACACCCAGATAACAAACCATTGCAATAGTCCAGTTTAGACGTGACAAATGCATGAACCAGTTTTTCTGCATCATTTTTAGATGAGATGTTTCTAATTTTAGTGATATTACGCAGGTGGAAGAAGGTGGTTCTAGTAAAGTTTTTAATGTGGGGGATAAAAGACATGTCCTGATCAAAAATAACACCAAGATTTTTAACATTAGAGCTGGAGGCCAGATTAATGCCATCCAAGGAGGGCGAAAGACTGAAAAATGAATTTCTAAAATGCTCAGGTCCAAAAACCAAAACCTCAGTCTTGTCTGAGTTTAAAAGCAGAAAATGAAGGGTCATCCATGTTTTTATGTCTTTAAGACATGCTTGTAATCCAAGTAGCTGATTGGATTCATTGGGTTTCATGGACAAATACAAATGTGTATCATCAGCATAACAATGAAAATCGACCCCATGCTGTTTAATAACATTACCTAATGGAAGCATATACAAGTTTGATGTTCAACCTTTCTGACTATAAAGTTCTCACAACATTCTGAAAATTATTAATTTAGCAGCAAAAATTACTTCAAGCTCCAAGTAAACTACAAAAACAGCCAAATACTGGTTCTGGTTCAGACAACACAGCAGAACCACAATTTGGTAAAGCCATTCATCAGCTAAATGTCATCACAGAGTAAATGTAGATTCATGTAGATTCTAAATGTGCCAAGAAGCAGAAAGTCCTGGTATTACGTTAGGACTGACTGTTTGACTGGCGTCTTCCAACCGCAGGTCACGTGGTGTACCGTTACGTTGGACTGGATGGTACGTGATGTGACAGGAAAACCAAAAAACATCAGCACCAAACACAAAACCTGTAGAAAAACTTTGGTTTGTTAAAATATTTGTATTGTCTGGAGGTTTTAATCTAATTAATACAAAAAACTGTTGGTTAGCACACACGTAGGATTACTTGCTCCAGACTGCTGCTTAAGGGGCAAAAAATGAAACCCTACAAATCCTTAAACAAGTTCAAGAGAAAACCTCAAATCTGATTAACGTTTTCAGCGCATGCCCACCTCTTTTCCAGTTAGGACGTGTCGTGCCAGCTTGACCTTGGCAAAGTTGCCTTTGCCGATGGTTTTCAGTAACCGGTAGTTACCGATGTGCGGCTGGTCATCTGATGTGGTCGTGGACCCGGAGTTTGGACATCGTGACATGTTGTAGCGACCGGATGACTTCTGTTCCTGCAGAAACAGACAAATATGTAAGCGTAAGGTAGGGTGACGAGTCGTAGAGATAAGATGACCTGAGGACGGGCAAAGTTAGGCACAAACATTTTGATAAAATAAGAATTAGAAGATGCTTTTGTCCTAAAATGACACAACCTTCTTTGTCCCCTCAGATGACGTTCATTGTAGACAGACTGAAAAAGCAACAGATCTGAATTCTGGAAACAAATGTTTGATTTGTGACAAATGGGATGTATCGCCCAAGTTTGGCTTCCAACTTTTCTGCCTGATAAAAATGCAAAAATGATTGACCCATGTCACGTTGATAAGCCGTCCACAAACGGCTGAACGGACCTCCAAAATAAAAGAGGTTTCGGACTTGCTCATTTCAATGATATAGCTAAATGTATTCAATTGAAAGTAAGCGACCAGGAATAAATTAACAAAGAACGAGAAAGTTCCTGGAGAAAGTTAGACGGGGACTGCCACGTGCTGGCGATTTTAGAGTTCTGTCAGACGTTTTGAATTAGAAAAATGGCATATTTGTTTGCAAATTATGTCACTATGGAAACGCCAACAAAAGTCACACCACGGCACTGAGCCGGTCATTTTGATATAACATTTGTGGGGGTACACGTTGCGGCCACATTAAAGTTGACAGAAGAGTAAGATATAAAGTTAAGAAACCCTTGGCAGGTGGATAATAATAAGTGGCGGCCATTCAAGGCAGTACCCAATAATCCAGTTAAATATATAAACATAAGCAAATGAATCTACAGAGACAAAAACAATATTAAACGATCAAACTGGTGAAATACTTCAGTGAAACGCTCCGTTAAAACTACTGTACTGAAAAACAGTGAGGTTGTTTTCAGTTGTTTCATTTTGAGCCAGATTGAAGAAGAGTCTGGTTTGTCACGTTACATCCATTAGTTAAGGTGGAACAGTGGTTGGAGCGGTCGCCTCTAAGCAAGAAGGTCACAGGATCGCCTCCCGGCGATGTTGTCCCTATGTGTGGGTGGTAATGCGAGTGGTTGGTTGTCTCGATTGTCTCCATGTGTCCCGTGATGGACTTACGAGCTGTCCAGGATGTCCCCGCCTCTCGCACAGTGACTGCAGGAGATGGACACCAGCTCCCAGAAAGGAGAAGCAGATGTATGGATGATGTTTTGTAGTTAGGCCCACGCTGCAAAGAACTCAAACTTTTATAAAAGCCTGAGGTGATGAAACTGTACTAATGGCGCAGTTTCTCACGAGTCAATTTTCTACTGTCTTGGAATCGAGTTCACTTTTTTCCCTGTGCTTGATCTAAAAAAGCCATTGTGACGGACTACAACAGTTAAATGTATTAATGTCAGAAGATTGAAAATTAGAAAAACATGTTTTTGTTGCATGTTTGGGATTTTTATTTTTTTTTATCAAAATGAACCAATTCAATGAACATCCTCCACGGGTGGTGATTCCATAATTTTTCAGAGGAGCTATAATTGCACATGTGCTGAAAACAAAACAGTTTCTTAGGATACTGTTGTCAGGCAGTCTTGAGTAATCCAAACCTGTTTTCCCATTAAAATAATAAAAACGCATAACTACTACTTCTCACGAACACAGTGGCGTTTACTTTGCAAAACTGCTGCAGGACAGCTGTGTGTTTTTTCTTTTTTAACACCATTCATCTATTTGTTGCTGCAGACAGTTATTGCTGTACAATTTAAAAATATATATTTTGTTTACACTTTTAAAAGCAGAGAAATGTTTAGTCTGTGGTAGACTGGATTTGAAAATGGAAAGCAGAAAGCTGTCAGGTTGTAACTATGTCCAACAAAGCAATCATAAGAACAGGAAACTATTTTTTAGGGTTAACCATCATGGGAAGAATGGATCAACGGAAGCTTCTGAACAAAACTTTATTAAATATTTGGTAGTTTGAAGAAGAAGGGCAGCATGCCTGAAACATTACTACGTATAATGTTTTGTACGACGTAAAATATTTTCCTCTACGTGCATTTTTGACCACATCTATGCAACTCTTTTGAAATGCAGAAGTTAATTTGAAGGGAGGGGAAAAAAAACAGCAAAGGCAAAATAATAATAATAATAATAATAATAATAATAATTTAATTGTACGATTTTATGAATGAAAACAAATTCTTCTTAAGAACCAGTCGGTCCTTTAAAACCAACTCTCAGAAAAGAAAACACAACCTTGCTGCGCTTGCAAGTTTTGCACGATTGGCTACAGCGATTGTGTTTCAACTCCAGGAAAGGGTCACGGCAATTGTGTGCGTCTATATATGTCAGAGTGTGTGTGTGTGTGTGTGTGTGTGTGTGTATGATCTGAGAGGACAGGTGACAGGGAACCGGGTCAGACGAGAGGACGACTGACACCAGGGTGACGAGACGCAAACACACACACTATGGACCAAACAGCGAATGGTGCACACAAACTAAAACACACAATGTTGTGAACACAAAGGAGCTGACATGCAGGTATTTGTGTGGATACCAACGGTAGTCACTGTCCTTTGCTGTACTGTAAGGACTCAAACAAATACTTTGTTCTCCACCTCAAATGTAAACAAGTCACAAGTGACCAAATTAAAGCTTCACCACTTCCTGTAAATTACCCGCCCTCCATGTTTTTACTCAACCGGTTCCCTCCGTCTCCAAGACTTGGGTCATGGGAACAAGGATCATCATGATTACCCCGGCAGCTTTGAGTGGTTTTTTTTTTCCTTCTCCAGATGGCATGATCTAATGTCTGCATCTCAATCACCCCCCACCAGCTTCCTTACGCTGACACTGCAGGCTTGAATAAAATGTAATGGGCCAGATTAAGCTTTAACGCAGGGGAACAAGGATTTAGAAATCTGACTTGTCACTTCAAACCAGGAGGATTGAGGAAGGGTTTCATGTGGTCTTAAAAGAGGGATAAAGCAAATGATTTTTATTTTTGGAACAAGTGGAAGGCAGACCAAATGTTCTACATTAGCACCAATAAAGACAATCACATGCACCTGAAGGGTTCACGGATCAGTCGAAACTTAAATATTGTTCTGATAGAAGTTTATGCTCAATTCTTTTGAGTCCCGCTGTGACAAACAGTAGCAGATATTTAACCCTCAACAAAACATTTAGTATTTGAACAGATTCTACGAAGTGTCAAACACATCTGTCAGGATTGATCACACCCCATGCCCAAAAAACTTGATGAAACCAACAGATGTAAAAGCTAGCAGCAGCATGCAGCCTTGTTTTGAACATATGCAAAGCCTGAAAACCAATGAATACAGTGGTGCCTGTGGACCCTTTAACTTTTCTGTATTCCTGCATAAATAGGACCTAAAACATCATCAGAGTTTCACACAAGTCCTAAAAGTAGATAAAGAGAAGCCAGTTAAACAAACGAGACAAAAATATAATTTATTTATTGAGGAAAATGATCCAATGTTACATATTTGTGAGTGGTAAAGGTTATATGTGAACCTTTGCTTTCAGTATCTGGTACGATACACCGCCTTATAATCTAGCTGTTTTTGTTTTGTTTTTTTTAAATACCATTTTCTTTCATTTGTTCTTCTCAGTTTGTATGCCGTCTTTTATAATTGTCCACTGTTGTCATCACTCTTTGTTAAAATCAGGTCTCTCTTGTAAACGAGTCCCCGAGGCTCAATGGGTTTAACCTGTATAAAGGTTGAATGAATGAAATCAGGGTTTCCCCTACCATTATACAAGCAGGGCGCCCCTCCCTGTCAACAGAACCGAGCACCCAGCCTACCCCAACCTCCACCCCCACCCAAAGTGCCAGAACTGACGTAGCACTGAGCTAATGACACACAATACAGATGTGCTAGCTAAAAACCTATCACAATGGAAGCGGCGCTCTGTCTCCACTCATGCTGAGCTGTGCCCCCCCCCCCACTCGAAAGCTGTCGGTGCAAACAGCACGCAAAACACAGATGTGTTCCCCCCCCACGACAAAAAAACGCCCTGCCAAGGCAAGTAAACTAGGGGAAACACTGAATATACTTATAAAATGTATTTTTTTACTTAAAATGTTTTGCCTTCTTTATTGCAAAGGTTGAAGACGACCTAGAGAATTTTCTCGTCTTCCCGTGCAAAATCAGAGATTACTAGAAAATCAAACCTTTTTTCAAACTTCAAACTTCGCCAAGTGTCATGAGAAGTCTGCGGTCAATAAAGAATGCTCCTTTTAAGCAAAATGAGAAGTGATGAAAAATATCTTACTTTTAAAATATCTCAAGGGCCAGATTTGGCCCACGAGCCTCGAGTTTGACACGTGTCTTAATGGTATGGCATAATGGTATTTATTGGTATTATAAACAATATATATACTGCCCAACACTAGTACACGTTTCTTAAAATATCTGAAATGTAAACTCTTGCCTTGTAAAGTTTGTAAAGAAGAGATATTCAGTGCCTGGTATTTGTTTGTAAGGGTGACATGCGTGAAACGGTCACACAAGTTTCATTTCTAGCAACTTTTAGGATAACCGTTATTTAATAATAAAGACTTTGAGGCATAATGAGGTTTTTAAAAAAAGCCAAGTTTACTTCCACATTCAATAAAACCCGCTTGTGAAATTGTAAAATAAAAACTAATATATATAGACCAATCATAATTTCCACTTTATTTTCTTCCAATTTATAGACATTTCTAACTTTAATTTATTGATAAGTGCCAATTATAATAAATAATTATGTCATAAATGGGGCAAAGCTTCTGTTACACCACCAAAAGCACATTTTATTCATCGTTTTAAGGCAAATATGAGACAAACCAATAGCTTTACAGTAGTTGTTACTAGTTTTTTGTTTTGTTTTTCAGGCAGAGTACAATACGACAGTTTGGTACTTGCCAACAGTGAGTATTTAATAAGTGAGTACTTAAACGATAACTTTAGAAGCATTTATTTTATTCATCACTACAGACAGTTTGCTGCCTTATCAACTGTGTTGACCTTAAAATGTCTCCAAACTATATTTACA